AAGGTGACCTATTGATACTTTGCAGTGACACCACAATGGGGGTGTTCTATATGTGTCTCTATGGTGGAATCTTCAGTAGTTACAATGGTGACACAATGTACAATGTAAAAAAAAAAGTCTTAAAGAACTCAAGAAAAAATACAAAATGTTATCACTATGATTGTTCATGGTCATGTTCAGGTGTTTGATTTTCAACAAAAAGGTAAGTGTGACTAAAGTGACACCCAAAACATGCTACATAGGACTCCAGGAAGAATAGCTGATAGCTGATAGTTAAGGTCAATTAAATACAATCAATCAATTAACCTGCCCAGGTAGTACAGGTGGAAATCAGCACTAGTGCTTCAACCTGGTACATAGCATCTCTCCTGTTAAGGTTAATGTATATTGTGCACTGTCCCTGTCTCATTAAATGAATAAACTGAGACAAAAGCTAGCTTGTGACTATAATTTTATGTGTGAGAGACTTGTTTAAAAACACAAATCATGTCACCAGTTGTAGTTTCATTTAAATCAGGTCGTTCAGGTCAGATTAAAGTCTAACCTGAGTCGCAGAGTTTCAGACTGAGCAGTACCTCCAGTTACCATAACACCCCCTGGGAATTTTGATGGCGTCAGCTGCAAAGGTTTCGTCCATCTCTTTGAAGTCTATACACCTTCACTAGATTACAGTTCTGATCATTCTGTTAATGTAAAAAGAAGTGTAATTAATGAACTGAACTTTTACTAACATTTGTGCTGCATTCTGTGACGACAATGGCCTGTAATTGAGCAAATGACAGCATCAAGTTGAATGTGAAAGAATTATGAATGATTAGCCTCATATGTCTCTGGAGTGTGAGCCGCCATATCTGCGAGCCCTGCACTGGCACTTGAGTTGATTACAGTGCACTCATTGTTTGTGTGAATACTGATTAATGATTACTGTGAGGGTTGTACACAGAGGCTAAAGCATGAAGAGGGGAATGTCAGGCTCACACTTTTTTTTTCCCTCAATACAAGCTTCATTATGGTGAGTAGTAGATCTGTTCAGTGACGCTGTGGGGAATGACCTTATGTGAAAAGTGTGAATTGCCTTTAAAAACACACAATATGTAATGCTCTGCTATAGGAGACACGTGGAAATTCAGCTGATGAACTATTACTGTAAATGCAACTACATAGGCCCATAGACTGTTTAAAGAAGTGGACTAAGGACATGTCACCTATAGCGTTTAGCTCCAGTCAAATAAAGCTCAGATATTTGGCAGATATAGAAGTAAATTTGGAGCCGAGTTCTATTTAGGAATAAGAATTGATTTACAGACAAAATAGTGAAATAAAAAATACCAGGATCATGTAGAGCGGGTAAATGTCAAATTTCATGACCACACTAATCCAGTGTTTATTCATGCCAAATTACTTAAACTGAACGATTTGATTCTGTACCAAACTGTGCATGTAATGTATAAGGCTAAAAGTAAACACTTACCAAAAAAATCCAACTACTTTTTTGTGACTTTTCGTTCGAGCCTCGTGCTTGAATGACAAGGAAGTGTTTTTGTATCTCTGTTTGTAGTGTAAAATTATTATTATTATGAAAATAGAACTAAAACTTTGTCCAAACATACATGTATTATTGTTGTTAGTTTTGTAATGAAATGTGAGTACTGTGCAATTATAGCTTATGTTGTACAGGAAATGAGAAATCTATATGTTCTTTGTTAATATGGGAAAAAGTAGAAAGAAAGGGTTGGGGTTAAACAAGTTTTTACTTTCTCCCACTCCTTTTTCGAACACATGTATCTATGTATGTATGTATCTTTGTATGTATCTATGTATTTATGTTTGCTATGCATGTTATATCCACTACTGTCCGGAAAAAAAAACATTCATTCATTCATTTTTTCATTCAATGCGAACATTTTAAGACCAAAATAATTAGCCAGATAGCAGTTAGGGAGAGAAGGGTGACGTTAACTATGGGTTAGTTATGTTCAGCTATACTTAGGCGATGTATTACCACTACTGCTGATCATATCAATACCAGGCTGTTGTTATAATCTTTATCTTCTCCTTATAATCCCAAGTTTTAGTTTGGTATGTTCCACTAAATAGTAAATCACTTATTTGAATATCTCATAACAGATTTTTACATACTGAACTAAAATGTGTACATTGCATTGCTGAAAATATAAATAAATGATCCTATCTATGTAAAATTCATGTCAGCTCTCGCCCCAAAAGCTGTTTCTCATAAAGCAGGCATTCTGTAGCCACTCTCAGTTCCAGCTCCAACCTACTTTTATTGCTCTGGTGGGGCCTTCGAGAGACTTTCAGAAAACTCTTACTTTGTCCCAGAGTGGAAAACATGAAAAAGATGGGTTTTATTCTTCTTCAAAGTGAAATGTAAAAGCAGCGCTACGATCCCACAATAATCATCAAAGGGAAAATGTGCACTGGTCTGTGTTCTGGGACAATATAGAGGTGTGTCAGAAATGAAGGCTAGTTTCAGTTGGCTCACAATGTTAGAGATCTTTGTGTTATTTTATGTACAAGAACTTACATATGCAAACTAATTAAAGGTCCTATGTTATGTATGCTTTATGGTACAGTATGGATGACTGGAGAGACCCTACTCCAGATTTCAGACCAGGATTTTGATTGGACTGAACTGTACCATGCATATTTTACATTTATGACTATTCTCAGCAGTAGAATGCCTTGTTCTTGCCAACTACAGATATTCAGTCATTTTGAGCATTGCAGGGGTTTCCATACATAGATGTCAGCTTGTCTTGGCTTTTGAATAATATAATATAATATTAATATGTGATTGCCAGCATGCACCATTTTCTTTAGGCTCTTGACAGAGATTTTTTCTTTTAATAATATGAGTGTGTAATGTGTTTCAAGAGCAGCCCACCAGTGGAATTATGAAGAGGCAGTTTATTCTCCAGCGCTGCCATTTCGCCTCCAGCAAGAAGCTAACAACTCTGTGCCTGCTGAATGTGACGATATATGACCTCTCACACACAAACCTGCTGTGAAGAGAAAATTAAACCAAATCCAAGATATTTTTTCATAGGTCTTCTATAATGTGGCTTAAAGGGCCCATATTATTATTATTATTTATCATTATTATTGATAACTATGATATAATGTTGGTTCCTCATCCAAACATACCTGTAGTTGTTTAACATACAAACCTTGCATATTTAGGCTGAGTTCTTCTCTCAAACAGAAAACACTCTGTTCCACCTTGGGATGTCATGTGGTAATACAGGAAGAGCTCCAGGGTGTTCAGACCTGGAATTTCTAATCTCTACTAAAATTTTGCTGTTAACTTGAAAACTGCTGCTTCATGACATCACAGGGTGGGACAGAGCATTGAGCTTTGGAGATGTAGATAGACTAATAATAAAGGATTACTCAAACTTGTGTGAATGAAACAAAACACAACTCCAGGTATGTTTTTGATGAGGCAACAACATTCTAACATGTCTTAAAAGAGCAGAAGAGTCATTTTTTGTAATATAGGACCTTTAATATTACCCTCATCCCCCAGGGACTAAAGTTTTAGGAGTGTGAAAATCTACACTCCTAAAACTTTAGTCCATGCCATAGTATTGCTTGTGTCAGCCTGTGTTGGAGGATCTCGTCTTTCACGCTCCGAGTACATGACAGCCCTCATATTTCACATTGCTGCTGGTGCTGTGTGCCATACATTTTATATGAGCTTGTAACCTACATCTTTCCAAACTCATGTCAGCATGGGGCCCCAGATCAAAACACGGGGTATAGCACTGTTTATGGATGTCTTCAATGGAGCTTAGTCATGTCCCTGTCAAAATGTGATCAATCTACTTTAGATGATGAACATGTAATTTCAGATTTTGTATTTGCAAAAAATAATTGATGGACTGTACGCTTGTAGTCAATCAAGTGGCCAATGGTTCTTTAGTTGACCAAAGCATTGGATTAGACCATCAGTCTGTCAGTCTGTGCGCTGGCTCCTGTGGCTCAGAGACTTTAAAGCAGCTCTGCTTGTGTTCAAGTCTCTCCATGGTTTAGCACCAAAGTGTCTCTGACATGTTAATGCCATATGAACCACCTCTCACTGTGAGTACCTCAGGAACCGGCCTTCTGCTGGTGCCCAGAGTCAGGACTAAACACAGGGAGTCAGAGTTTCAGATTCATGGAACCTGGAACAGTCTTCCTGAACATGTGAGACAGGCCTCTACTCTGACAATGTTTAAATCCAGGCTCAAAACGGTTCTGTTTAGCTGTGCAAATGACTGACAGGTTTTTATTCTGCTCACATCTCTTTTAATGTTAATTTTATGATTATGATGATTATTTGTGTTTTGATTTGTTCGTTTTGTGATTTTAATGTCTTTCCTAATCCGTAAAGCACTTTGAATTAATTGTGTACGAACTGTACTACACAGGGAAACTTGCCTTGCAAAAAAATAAATAAAAAATCAGGATTAAAGGTGAACCACCACAGATTGGAAATGTTGGGAGTGACCACCTACAGTCTAATCAGCATTTTCACTTATGAAGATGCTGTTTTCTAATATTTCTCAGTGAACACTGTAGTTTTTGCACAAGGTCCTAGTAATGTTTTGAGCTTTTGCTAGCGTCACACCCCCTTTAGTCCATTACTTAACATACAGGTCATGTCTTTAGTCAACCAAGAATTTCTTTAGTGGGACCGTGACCTGTCTTTGAAAATGATATTAGTTACATGGTGATTTTATGCTAGCGAGTCACCTTTGATGTTATATTGACCTTAGTAGAGGAATTAATGGAAAAGCAATGTTGAAGCTGCTATAAAGCTTATAGCATGTTTTACAGTGATAGGATTTGATGGGGTGTGTTAATGTGGAGATTTAATACAGCAGGATAAATGAAGCAAAGAAATGAGGGAAGAACTCATTTCTCAAAGTATTTTATAAGGAGAGGGTTAAGACAGTACTTAAAATAAGTTAATTAAAATTCTCTTTTCATATTCGCAGATCCTGATTGGGGAGGTGACCAGCTTCTTTGTCAAATCCGACGGAGCTCAGGAGAAGACCATAGTGACCGCTGACTGCTGTTATTTCAACCCTCTGCTTCGGCGGATAGTGCGTTTTCTAGGTCAGATATCCTACTCTACATCATGCCACTATAGTCATAACTAATTAAACCAGACACTAAGCTATGGTTAGAGTGAGAGACAAAAAGACATTTTTAGTTAGCTCTCATGTGGGCTAATTTCACTCTGTCAATTGTTAGAATCAATAATTTAGGAATACCATATTATTTAAAATGAAATGAATTTGTATTTGTATAATGTATTCATATTTTTATTATTAATTTGTCTCTTTTTTCAACACACGGGATCCAATCACATTCAGGCAAACTTAAACTGGGTTGGTCGCCATTATTGAAGAGAAAATGTGCATTGCAGTGTTGGCTTCATGAAGTTAGACAAACTACACATTAAAGATAAAGAAAATGTGGTACTGTTTTTTTTTTTTAATTGAAATAGGGAGAAGTAGCAAAATGCATTTAGATTTCTTCAGTTATTATATTTTGCAATTATGTTACTGTCACTGTTATTGTCCATTTTGCCTTATATAGTGTGATCTTTCATTTGCTTTTAAGGAAACATGTAAAATTAGATGAGATTAGGTTTTATTTGTACATACAGTAAAAACATTGCAAACAGATAGAAAACAAATGATGAAATGCAGAAGAGAGTAAGAAGTCCAATTATAGTTTTATAAGACCATCTCCCCTAAAACATGTTTCATAATCATAGCGTAACAGACATGAACTAAAATCATCACATCAAATTCATTTTAATTAACTAGAAGCTGGATTTTGTTAATTTCATATAACATCATTAATAACAGCATTATTTATTCATCTTTTAAAGGTGCACTATGCACCTTTAAAAGAGGTAAACATCTGCTTCTCACCATGGAGAAGTTGCTTTGTCAAGAATATCCCACAGTATGACATTAAACTTGACTGACTTGCATTTATTTATGTACATGTGTTTGTATTACCTTGAAAAACGTGCCTTTCTACTATGAATTGGCTCGACTCTTCACAGTAGTTGTGCCAATAACAGGAGTGGTCATTTGTAAATGTTTAATGCCATAGTTGGGAAGTTATTTCAGTAAAATTAATAACATGGCAACAAGTGGGTGGCAGACCATCCACCAGAATAGTTACTTAACGTGCCTTTAAATTCTGATTGAACATGTTTTCTCCATTTTACTAATCACACCTCCTCTTCTCCAGGTGTCTACTCCTTTGGCCTTTTCACCACTACCATCTTTGCAAATGCAGGTCAAGTGGTAACAGGAAATCAAACGCCGCACTTCCTGACCACCTGTAGGCCGAATTACACAGCTCTGGGTTGCCAGTCTCCTCTGCAGTATATCAGCGAGCGACGGGCGTGCACTGGCAACCCCTACCTGGTGGCATCTGCACGCAAGTCCTTCCCCTCCAAAGACGCAGCGCTCAGCTTCTACTCGGCCATTTACACAGTAGTAAGTAAACTCAGACTTAGACAAACTTTATTGATCCACAAATGAAATTATTTGGACACAGTAGCTCACACATCACAATATAATATAATAACAAAAAGAAAAAATATAAATGGTAATAATAATTCTAAAGAAGTAGCAGAAAGAGCCTGATGTCAAATAAGGCATAATTATATACACTGTTACATAAGAGTGAATTGTTGTACAGCTGTAGGGAGTATTATCTGTTACATAAAAGTGAGTTGTTGTACAGCTGTAGGGAGTATTATCTGTTACATAAAAGTGAGTTGTTGTACAGCTGTAGGGAGTATTATCTGTTACATAAGAGTGAATTGTGTACAGTTGTAGGGAGTATTATACAAGAGTGAATTGTTGTACAGTTTAGGGAGTATTATCTGTTATAAAGTAGTACTGTTTGTTGTTGTACAGTTGTAGGGAGTATTATCTGTTACATAAAGGTGAGTTGTTGTACAGCTGTAGGGAGTATTATCTGTTACATAAGAGTGAATTGTTGTACAGTTGTAGGGAGTATTATCTGTTACATAAGAGTGAATTGTTGTACAGTTGTAGGGAGTATTATCTGTTATATAAAGGTGAGTTGTTATACAGTTGTAGGGAGTATTATCTGTTATATAAAGGTGAGTTGTTGTACAGTTGTAGGGAGTATTATCTGTTACATAAAGGTGAGTTGTTGTACAGCTGTAGGGAGTATTATCTGTTACATAAGAGTGAATTGTTGTACAGTTGTAGGGAGTATTATCTGTTACATAAGAGTGAATTGTTGTACAGTTGTAGGGAGTATTATCTGTTATATAAAGGTGAGTTGTTGTACAGCTGTAGGGAGTATTATCTGTTACATAAAGGTGAGTTGTTGTACAGCTGTAGGGAGTATTATCTGTTACATAAAGGTGAATTGTTGTACAGTTGTAGGGAGTATTATCTGTTACATAACAGTGAATTGTTGTACAATTGTAGGGAGTATTAGCTGTTACATAAAGGTGAATTGTTGTACAATTGTAGGGAGTATTATCTGTTATATAAAGGTGAGTTGTTGTACAGCTGTAGGGAGTATTATCTGTTACATAAAGTGAGTTGTTGTACAGCTGTAGGGAGTATTATCTGTTACATAAAGGTGAGTTGTTGTACAGTTGTAGGGAGTATTATCTGTTACATAAAGGTGAGTTGTTGTACAGCTGTAGGGAGTATTATCTGTTACATAAAGGTGAGTTGTTGTACAGCTGTAGGGAGTATTATCTGTTACATAAGGTGAGTTGTTGTACAGTTGTAGGGAGTATTATCTGTTACATAAAGGTGAATTGTTGTACAGTTGTAGGGAGTATTATCTGTTATATAAAGGTGAGTTGTTGTACAGCTGTAGGGAGTATTATCTGTTACATAAAGGTGAGTTGTTATACAGTTGTAGGGAGTATTATCTGTTACATAAAGGTGAGTTGTTGTACAGTTGTAGGGAGTATTATCTGTTACATAAAGGTGAGTTGTTGTACAGCTGTAGGGAGTATTATCTGTTACATAAAGGTGAATTGTTGTACAGTTGTAGGGAGTATTAGCTGTTACATAAAGGTGAATTGTTGTACAGTTGTAGGGAGTATTATCTGTTACATAAGGTGAATTGTTGTACAGTTGTAGGGAGTATTATCTGTTACATAAAGGTGAATTGTTGTACAGTTGTAGGGAGTATTATCTGTTACATAAAGGTGAATTGTTGTACAGTTGTAGGGAGTATTATCTGTTACATAAAGGTGAATTGTTGTACAGTTGTAGGGAGTACGGTATGAATCAGTGTAGTCCTGTATCTCTCACTGTTTGAGCGGAGCTGTTGAAGCCTGTTGGTGAATGAGCTCCCCACAGAAAAATACTATTATGACTTTCTTTAAATGACTGACACAAGGTTATATTTTTAGATGTATGTGACTCTGGCTTTTCGGACCAAGGGAACTCGCCTCTCCAAGCCTACGCTGTGTTTGGTGCTACTGTCGCTGGCTGTTCTTGTGGGGGTCGTAAGGGTCACTGAGCACAGAAATCACTGGAACGACGTCCTGGCTGGATTTATAACTGGAGGGGCCATTGCGGCGTTTTTGGTAAATTAGATCAACCAAAAGACATAGTGTTCTTATTCTAGGCTTTTTATTGTTATTTCACCTCTGTCCACCAGGTGTCATGTGTGATCAACTACTTTAAGCAGACTCAGACGGCGTCGCAAGCCACACCAGCTCCGCAGAGACCAGAGCCCCCAACTGGGATCCCCCTCCTCAGTCTGCCCCGTGTGGAGAGTCCACTCGAAAAGTTAAGTGGCCTCCAGGTAAGGGGAGGGATGCCATATGAAAAACTGGACAGACTACATAGACTGTACTATTAGGTAAACTAACTGTATATTTTTGTCCTCATCATTTGCCTGTTGTGTGTCATGTGTTGTCCATTTTGTCCACATAGGTTTCAAACAGTTTAGAAATATTTAAGTTAAATGTCTTTGCTGATAATGTCTGTGTTGTAGGCTCCAGGGTTACCGTATTCTGAGATCACATGACCCTCAGCCAAACCCGAGCCCCGCCCCCCCCGACGTGCTTCTTCCCTCAAGACGTTGCCTCACCAGCGCAGTCTAGACCTGCCCATCGAGTGCCCCCACCCATGCCCCGCCCACCCCGAAGGACGACACCCTCTGAGACGAGTCAAGTCCACTATGGTGTGAGCATTTACCCCAAGACTAAAGAGACTAAAGAAACCCCAAAACTAAAGAGGCAAACTGTGAAACTTAAGGATACAGACATCGCATCACCCTGAGCCTCTGTTTATACGACCAGGTGAAGGCTCGTCCAAGCCGAAGTTATGAAGCAATACTGTGTCTCTTTCTAGTCCTTTTCTACTAAGGCTTTGAATTATCAACTGGTGACAACCTGTTAAAACATTGAATTAAATCTCAACGGAGCTGAGCCGAATAACATCTCACAACTGGCTCACCTCAAAAGACTTTGTAACTCAGGACCATAATGTGGAATCAATCTAACAGACCCTTGTATTATCAAAGCAGGTACCACTGAAGATAATGGGACTGTTTTCCTGAAAACTGACAAAAGAGCACTTTGGTAGAGTAAAGCACAGATGAACCACTGGAGTACAGCAAACAGTTGTATCCCATTTGAGATGTGGATGAATCTTTTGCTGTTGTGTAAATTGATTCAAATATTTATGTATATGAGAGAGATGAATATACCACTTTTTTGTGGCACAGGTTTATTCGCTGCTGAAGTGAAATACACCAGGTTTGTATCAACTGAACAACAAACTTTGATCTCAGATATTATAGGTGTCTTTGTCCTTGTCCACTGTTAAGTAAACACAGTTCACTTACCATACTGTCCCAAGTGTAGTTTTCTGTTTTAGGATGCATTTTATAATATATCCCTAACATTTTTTACTTTTATCCAAATGAAGTTGCTCATTTACATTGTTACATAAATAGGCTTTTTCTATAATTTGTTATAGATGTAACTGGACTCTCATACTCTTTCTTTCAGTTTCAGGCAGAGCTTGGAGCGTTGTATAGTGTACATTTTATAGGTTTCTTTACATAATATATTCACAGTACAATGAGTCTTGTACATGAAATACATAACGCTATACCTGAATGGTCGTATTGTGGTCATATAGAGGATTACTGCATAATGGAATGCAGGGTACAGGAAACAGCACAGTTGTCTACTCAAGACCAAGAGGTTTAACAATAAGATGATGACAATGTGAAGTTCTCACTATGATTTTATGTGTTTGACTGCGTGCGCTTATGGAGAGTGGTGTGTTTGTAATGATGAGTTCACAGTATGGGAGTGTAACTGTTAATTTGCCAATCTGTTTCCTTAGTTAAAGTGTCAAAAGTAGCTGCTATAATTACACACTGGTGATTGTGTGACTGCAGGCCCTCTGAGAACCCCTGTCAGGGCCTGTTTTAGCAGAGCCAGTTCATTACAGCTCAGAGATTATCTTCAGTTTAACTATGTTGTTATTTTCATGGTTAAATATCTGTTTTGTATTTACTTGGCAAAATAAATCACAATTAACACTTTTTCTGTTGACTTGTTTTTGTTATTAATTACAGTTCTTCTCTGACATGCCTTTCTCATCACTGGCTTCATGCAATAGCAATGTTGGAAGGGTTACATCTAAAATTACAATATATACAACAGGCAAGCCTAAAATAATTAAATGTATATCGAATCAGCTCAACATATAACTGACTGAAAAGACCAGAGTGTGGAGGTTTTCTACCATGAGATATTACTTTGCCTGGAATATTTCTCATCATGGCATTAAATGTCACCACCTTGCATTTAATCAATTACAGTTGTATTTATTCCTGAGAAAAATGCCTAGAAACACATGTATTTTTTTGTGTCAGTGGCGCCCCTTTACAGATCTGACTTGTAACTTGGTCTAGTGGAGTCACCTGCTTGTTTTCATGGAGATAGATGTGTTTCATGTCACACTATGGTACATTCTAGGCAAAGCGATAACATCTCCAAGCCTCCACCAGAAAAGTTACACAGTGCACATTTACCTCACAGTGGAGATTACACACAGCACACACCAATAAAAAACACTAACCTGTGATCTAGTAAATGTGTTTTATAATGTATTCTGCAAAATATATATTCCAAAAGTATGTAAATTGTAATTTTACTTGCATTTAGATCTATTTTAGTAACACAAGAACCGACACGAAACATGCCTTTACAGTGATACAAACGGATGCAGTGCGCAACAATGAACACAAGATGGCGGCATTGACCATGTAATGATCTAAATACCCGCTCCGAGTCTAATACTTTTCATTATGTTGTAGTAATTCTAATACTTTAAAAATACGTTTACAGAAATGTAATGTTATTGTCAAAATCTGAAGTAGCATAATGTACTTTATTAATCCCATTGTTCCTCTCTCTCTCTCTGCTAATTGGCCACTCACTCCGCCCCCTCTTTGTGGTGCTTTTTGCGTTTTTCAGTCTTGTTAATGACAAGGCACGCGCAAACCGCACTGACTCATGCGCACTCAAACGGAGAATTACGTGCTCTTTCTCAACAACATTATCTTTTCCGGAAATTGCTTCTCAAGCGCAGCCGGAGCCCCATTAGAAAAGAAGAGCTCTACGCTGTAACCTTTTTAAAAAGCCATTAGCGATGCACCTGCTTCTCTGCCTCTCTCACTCTCTCTCTCCTGTGTTTTCTGTGTCCTATTTGTCTCTCTTGTTAACACTGACACACACATTCTGATTGCCACAGACCCCTCTCCCTCCTCTTCTTCCTCTTCCTCCTCTCACCCTTTCCCTTATACCAACAGACTACCGCGCACTTTAAGCATCCTTCCACTCCAATTAGGCCGTGAATCACTGACATTTTAAAGAGCAAAAAACACTCAATTTAATTATTTACGTGCGTTATTCTAATGGCTTTCGACTTAAATCATAGTGCCTCAGACAGGAGTTATTCTCTCTACTACACAGACCAGAGAGGAGAAGATACATTAATTTTATAATAGAGGATGTCAGACCCGGGGAGAGCCCTGGCTGGCAGCTACACAATTATGCAAGAATCTGACAGCTGAGAGGAGAGGGCTACTCCAGGTTGAATCAGGTGAAGTTAAGATCCAATGGGAAGAGTATATTGGTGTTGCTCTGTTGTTCTGTCCACACTGTATATTGTGTATTTATATTCAGTCAACATCTGATTGTATGCATGCTTTCATTTTATTATAGTTTATATTTTACTGTGATTGAATTTTGTTTTGTTTTCTGATGCTGATGTTTCAACTTCTAAATGTCTTGTGAAGGTGCAATAGTTTTCTATTAGGAGGTTCGTTACTTGCTTGTCTCTATGGAGATGTGCCAGGAATGTTCCACAGTATGACCATAACCTTATGAATCTCCATGGAGACTTGCAAGACAAGTTACAGATTCATTCATTCATTCATTCATTCCATTTGTTTGAGCAAGGTACAACAAAATCAACGACAATAAAAAAAAAATGATAGGGATGTAACAAAAACTGAAATATCGTGATATCGTATCGTCAAAGTTGTCACAATAATATCGTGGACTATCACAATATATCGAATTACAAATCTCTTCGATTAAATTAAGAGTTATGGTGCAGCAATAGCTAAAAAAAAAAAAGAGAACTACACAGACCATGATCCTTTGCTCCATTTCAGTGCAGACTACAAGAAGCAGAAGAAGTTAGCCTTCACAAAATATCGTAATAAATATTGTATCATGAGATATATATCTTGAAAATATCATACCGAGGGATTTGGATATTGTTACATCCCTAATCATGAGCCTCCCCACCATATTGTACGTTTTCCCACAATATTGCAATAAATATCGTACCATGAGGTTCATACCTTGACGATATTGTATTGTGTGACTTATATTGTTACACCTCTAATATGTACATATACATATTTGGGACTTGGTGTTCAGAAGGAGTAGGATGAAGTTCAAAAAACTTATTGTGTCTTTACATAATCACATGGTTGTCACTTAAAAAAATAAATAAATTACAAATTTGTGGAGAGGTGACACCACTCACTGTAAGAATACATGTTTTTTTTTAAAGATATTTTGAGCAGTTAAATCCATAGTTGAATAAATGTAAGCCAGATTAGTTTAAAGCATACTCTGGACAATTTAAACCAAAAAATTAACATCTCCACGAAGACAAACAGGTTGCAAACCCTCACCTGGAACGTTACAGAGTGCACCTTTAAAGGCTACATATCTATTGTTTTTAGGCCTACAAACTGTTAAAGCTACAATTAAAGCTCTTATATTACACAAAATAGATTATTGTGAGCTCTAAGTCACATTAGAATATGTTACCTCATCAAAAACATATCCAGAGTTGTGGTTTGTTTCATTCAGACAAGTTTGAGTAATTGTTTTTACGCTGTCTGCATCTCAAAAGCTCAAAATGCTCTGCTCCACCTTGTGTCATGTAGTAGTAGTTTCAAGTTAACAGCTACGTTTTACCTTTAGTGTAGTAGAAATTGGCAGGACTGAAATAATCCAAATGATTCTAGTTAAGGTGTATGGAGTTTAAAAATCACAGTGGAGCACTTCTTGTATTACTACATCACAAGGTGGAGCAGAGTGTTTTGAGTTTTTGAGATACAGACAGCGTAAAAATGATTACTCAACTTGTCTGAACTGAGAAAAGAACAGCCTAAATAAACAGGATTTGTGTGTTAAACATGTGTGAATGAAACATAATTTAACTCCAGATTTGTGATGAGGAAACAGCATTATAACATAGATCAGAAAACAGTGTAATATAGACCCTTTAAACATTTAGGTATAATTATTATTTCTTGCAGTTCTGAGTTATGTGTCTTAACTAGTTTGACATATTTTCAGTTGTTCTGTTGGGAGCACTGTAAATGCAACGGACCCCTCTCCTGATCTTAACCCTGAATCACGTCTCCTGCATTAGTCTTTATTGTGCGTATTGATGTTGAACAGGGAAAACACCCACCGAAACCCACCCAGTAATGAAAAGAACATGCAGCAAGCCAATAAAGCAATCAAACTGAACACCATTTTACATTTGAATCAAGAAATTAAACCCTTTACTCTTTCCATACAGGAGAGTACAGACTAAAGAGTGTGTTTTATCATTTTCCACCCCGGGCTAGTAAAAATATACTGCCTGTCACTGTAAATTACAAATATTGGTGCAGTCCCCTGATTATGCTCTCTGGTCTGTCTCGGACAATTACAAACCCATTAACAGTGTGTGTGGACAGCACTCAGAGAATCCACAGCTGTTTTCTGACTGAGTGAGTGCTGAAATTCACAACCAAAACACCATGACTGAACCAATGCATTTCCCAGCATGCCTTAGCGGTGGAACTTAACGAAGTACAAAAGTAAAAGTACAATACTGAAGACAATTTTTAGGTATCTGTTCTTTACTTAAGTCAGTTTTACATTGGATGTTTTTTTACTTATACTTCACTACATTTGAGAGCAGGTATCTGTCCTTTTGTTACACTACATTTTAGCTCTGGATTGAAAAGTCAACACTGCTTTTCTTTTCTTTGCTCATTTAATTTGAGTTAATATCCTAACTGTGAGCAAACCAACTACACAAAAACACAAAGAGCTTAAAAAAAAAAAAGAAATCACTTAAATCACAACTGAATTCTTTATCATAACCATTACATTTGATGCTTTATTTGTTTTAAAAATCTCTGCAAAACCCTTTTACTTTGTACTCTTAAAGCACATTTTTAAACAGCTATTTCAGTAGTTTTATTTATTTTTCATGTGATAGTTTTAGTTTTACTTGAGTAATCTTTTGCCCCTGTATCTGTACTTTTCCTTAAGTAACAAAATTGAGTACTTCATCCATCTATTTCTGCATAGTCACTGTATGGAATTGGATTGGACAAAGAAACGACAAGAGACAGACTGACGAGTGTCAACAAACCCCCACTGGACACATGCAAGCCCTGAAAACCTTTAGACTTCCCACTAATTACCAACTTGAGCCTCTATAGCACTGCACGCTCTTTATTAGCTCTACAGTAGACCCCAACACAAACAATACCACATTTATTATTATAATTATGCTTCATGAATGTTTTAGAGCAGAGGAAATTAGCAAGTGAATGCATATAAAACAATTAACAAGGGCCTTTATTATTAAGATCATAGTCCTGGAAATGTTCCTGAAAAGGTTTTGTCCATTATAATGTGATTTAGTGGTGTGGCGTAAGCGCATTACAGGCACCACAAACTACCACATGAAGATTTGGTTTGGAGATGGGATGGCTCACTGTTATATGGTAATAGCATTAAAGTCTTATAGAGCTGGGGCTGAGCAGAGGTAGGGGTGATTTCTTGCATGGCTATTGCACTGAGTTGCATTGTATTTTACAGTCCTGTCCATCCCCATTATAAACGTGGGTAGCAGAGGAGGCAGGGAGCACAAAGACCCTCACAGGGACTATCCTAATAAATATGTAATGTCTGATATATCTTTTCCACGTTGTAATTATACTACAGC